ATATATGAGTGCTATGTGAGAAAAGTTTATGTGCTAAGCAAGCATTGGCTTTTAATTAGCAGTATTTTTTCATAGTGATGTATAAAATAGTGGCATAACATATAGTCAATGGGTCTATGGCCATGGCACCCTGAACATGCCCGAACAGGTCAGATCTTGGAAGTAAGCAGGATCGGGCCTGGTTAGTACTTGGATGGGAGACCACCTAGGAAGACCAGGTGCTGTAGGCTTAAAAAAATAAAAAATAAATAACAAAAAACAATAAAAAACAAACATACAGTCAGTGGCATCTTATATTTAATAAATAGGCATATATAATTTTATTATTTTAATTTTATTATTTCTTTTATCATTTTATTTTATTATTTTCTTACTTGGATCAGAAGATCCCCGAGAAACAAGTGAAGTCCCAGGGCTTTTCAGGGGGGATCAGGTTTGATGACAAAGGAGGTCTTGGAGGTCCAGGCTGCAAGCAGATCTCCAAGACCACCCAGAATAACTTTAACCTGGCTTCCTCAGGACTTCTGAGTCAAGCATTAAAGGTAGCACCAACACTAGGAGAATCCCCACTGTGTGCCTCTCCTTGGATCCGCATGCCTAGAACTCAGCACCAATCCAACCCTAGAAAAGGGCATGTTCAAAAGGCTGTATGTTCTCTGCCTTAAGAGAGAATTTCAGAATTCACAAGAGATTTGGGGAAGGAAAAGGTGATGAGAGAAAAAGAAAAAGAGTAGAATGGGAAAGGGCCCATTTCTCTACCAAAACCAGTTGTCAATGTATACATACCTTCATAAGCTCAGAACAGAATAGCCTCGTCTAAAATGGAAGCCAGAGAAAAATCCTGATTCTGGCACCATTGTTTATCTGTTATATAATCTGAATTATATCACTTCATTTACTGGCCTCGCCTATAAAATTAAGTGACTGTGTGAGAGGATTTCTAAGGTTGTTTCCATTTCTATCACTGTTTAAATTTTAACAATTAGATATTAATAAGTGTCTCACTCACCAGGTTGGGTATTAATCTGCAACTGAGCAGAGCTTTCTAATAAGGTAAGGTGAAAAAACTTTCAAAATTTTCTGGGATTTCACCGACCAAAAGTAGGTGATGGAAGAAAATGAGATCAGAAGTGCTATAAGACAAGTAACCAGCTGGAAAGATATTTGCAATTTATATTATAAACAAAAGGCTTATTTCCCTAAACGACGAAGAACTCTTAAAAATCAATAAAACAACAAACAATGGCCATGGCTATAAACACAGTTCACAGAAAAGAATATCAGACGGCTCTTAAACAAAATGGATGTTCAACTGTGAAGTGAAAATTCAAACAACACTAAGAATATCTTTTACCTATCAAGCAGGAATATATATATTTTTTAAAAAGTTAATATACTAAGGGTCAATTAAAACCTCTATAAAAGGCATTTTGTCAATTTTACAAAAATTACAAAATTATAAAAGCACAAATGTTACGATTCATTCATTCTGTTTCCAGAATTTATTCTATTAATATGCTCACACAAGCAAAAATGACTTTTATATTAGGTTATTTGTCACAGCATTAATTGTAATAGCAAAGACTGAAAACAACCTGAGTGTCCATTCAGAGAGGACTGGTAAATAAATTATAATGTATTCATGTAATGGAATATTATGCAGCTATAAAAAGAATGATGGGATGTTTGCACAACAATCTGAACGTTCTTAATGGCACTGAACTGTATACTTAAAAAATGGTTAAAATAGTAGTTTGTATATATGTATATTTTACCACAATTTAAAAAAGTGTAGTATTGGCATAAAGACAGACATACAGATCCATGGAATGGAATAGAGAGCCCAAAAGTAAACTCACGTATGTGGTGAAAGGATTTTGACAAGGGTGCCAAGACCATCTAATTAGGAAAGGACAATCTTTTCAATAAATGATGTTGAGGAAACTATATATCCACATGCAAAAAAAATGAAGTTGGACCCTTACCTTATACCATATAAAAAAATTAAATACAAATTGATTAAAGACTCAAGTATAAGAGCTAAAACTATAAAACTCTTAGAAGAAACCAGGGGCAAAGCTTTGTGACATTGGATTTGGCAATGATTTCTTGGAATAACACCAAAAGCACAGGCAACAGAAGAAAATACAAATAAATTACACTTCAACAAAATCTGTACATCAAAGGACATTATCAACAGAGTGTAAAGGCAACACAGGGAGTGGAAGAAAATATTTGCAAATCATATATCTGATAAGGGTTAACGTTCAAAATATACAAAATTTAAAAAAAATAACAAATATGAAATAATATTGTATATACTGTTCTGCATCTATTTCTCCATTTTAAAATAGCTGAAGCTTTCACTCAAGAAATGTTTTAAGCACCAGAGAAACAGTAGTGAAAGAAATAACCAAAAGAGATGTAGTTCCTGCTCTCAGACAGCTTATAGTTTAGACATTAAACATATAACCACACAAATATATACATATATACACACACATGTGTATTTACACATATTTATGCATATACACATACACACACATGTATAGCGATAAATCCTTCAAAGAAAAAGAATAAAGTATTATTAAATAACGTAACAAGGAACCAAATTGAGAGGGCAGGGTGTGTGTGTGTGTGTGTGTGTATGAGTGTGAGAAAGCCTGGGGAAATGACCTTTAGGCTGAAATTTGAAGTTTGACCAGGAGTTATCCAGACAAAATGAGGCAGAAAAGCATTCCAGGCATAGAAAAATAGCATTCACAAAAGCCCAAAGGCAAGAAAGCATCCCATGCTTGTAAGGTACACAAAGAACCCCAGTGTTGCTGAAGTACACCAAGAAGGGGAGAGCACAGGAGATGATGATGGGAGGGAGAGCTTCGCAGGCCATGCTAAAGATTTTGAACTTAATCCTAGGTACCATGAATGGTCATTGATCCAATTTAATTTTTTAAAAGAGCACTTTGGAGAATGAACTGGAGAGGGCAGTGAGAATGGAGAAGGCATTAGTGAGAAATAATGGTGGCTTGGCCCAGGATGGTGGAATTGGAGATAAAGAAAAGTGAATAGATTTGAGATATAATTCAGAGATAGAATCAACAGTGTTGGTAATGAGGGGAGGAGGAAGAAGTCAAGAATGATTCCCAGGTTTCTGGCTGTTGCGTCAATGGAATGAGGAATTCTGGAGGAGAAGCAAATTTGCAGATGGGGAAGATCGAGAGTTTAGTGTTAGCCATGTTAACTAAAACATCCATTCGGTGGTGGCAGTGATTAGATACATGTGTCTAGAGCTCAGAAGAGAGATCTGGGCTAGTAATATAAATTTAAGACCTGTGTGCCCACAGATGATATTAAAGCATAGGAGTATATGATATCATCTACAAAGAGTGGGTAGTGCAAAAAAAGGCCCAGAACTTGGTCCTGGAGACCCTAACATTTAGCAGTCAGAAGAAGAAAAAGAGGTGATAAGAGAGAATGAGAAGGAACAGACAGTAGGAGGAAAACCAGGAGACTGCAGAGAAGTCAAGAGAAGAAAAAATGTGGGAAGAAGGAAGTGGTGAGAGGTCATGTAAGACAAAAGCTAACAAACATCTCCTTGATTTAGTAACACAGAAGCCTTTGGCAATCCTCTTCCACTATAAATGTAGTTAATTCACCCGTATTCTTTTTAAACAGGCATTTTCATTGTTTCCAGTTTTCTACCATTACGAATAGTGCATTGGTGAATGTCCTTGTATATATATGTTTTTTCCTCAGATACTAATATATGTATCTGAGAGAGTCCCTAAAAAGGGAAATGTAGAAACACTGTGAATTATAGCTAGAAAGGAACTTAGAACTGGCCTTGAACCTATATTTCCACCACTAAGGTAATCATCTACAGTATATTACAGCAATAATACAATACATGCAAGCCAGAGCCAACCAGCAGATGAGTTTATTCTTAGTCAACTGTTCTTCAAGGCAAGATATTTACACTGTGGTTAGTTGGGTAAATAAGCTCAGAAGTTCCCTGTACTGCTATAACAGAAACACAGATTTAAAGAATGAAGATCAAAACAGTTTTCATTTTTGGTCCTGCCCTTTAGCACTGAGGCATCTGTAAGACACTGGTGTGTATAGTGATAGCTGTCTTAAATTGTGTTTTGAAACTCTCACTCAAATATCTCCACTCTTTATTTGTAATGAAGCACTTGCTAAATAGCAGATACACAGGGAGACAGGTTCTACAATCACTGCTTTCTTCCAAGTCAAGTCCTTGGTACTTTTACATTTTGTAC